GTGAAAGAGCGAAAGCCAGACAAAAGAATTCGCTCCAATTAACGAACACAAGCCCAACGTACTAGTACGTAGATTTAATCGAATAGACCTGTTTAATCAGGTTCAGGTTCGCTTGCCAATTTCTATGCTTTGCCTTGGCTTCGATTTTTTGGATTGCCTTCCCACTTCCCCCCACCAATTTCCCATAAAAAGGAAATGTAATCTTCCTCTTCCCTGGGCGTCGTTTGTCTGCCTCGGCGACGCTTCAATTTAAGAAATTAATGCGAATTTCGTTTTTTTTTACGGCCTGCCAGCGGGCGCGGCCAATAAATCCACGCCTCACATGCCCCGCGGCGCTCGGAGGACGTGGAGATAGACCAGGAGCATGGCAGATGACCTGGCTCTGGAGCAGCCCCGCCCAAAGTTGAGCCAAGCCCCGGGTTCTGGCCTCCAGGGCCACGGCAACGGATGCCCCACACAAAATTCTGCCAAAAAATGAACGTGTAAAGGAAATTTCAGAGAACGGTAAGTCGAGTATGTGATGCGCTATGAATCATTTATTCATAAAGCAAATAAATTTGAAACAAAAATGTACAAAAATATAAATGTTAAACAGAGAGTTCAGTGTTTATGTCGCCGAATGCTACGTGGCTTACATGTCGTATGTGTAATTTCTCTTTAGATTAGAGTTAAATCTTCAGGCTAACTTCATTTAAGCGACACAAATTTAAACTTAAATCATTATATTTTATCAAATTGGGAAATGAGTAATTTCAAATCAAATAAATTTTTAAGTAAACCTTTAGGAACACATTTTTATTTTAAGCCATACATTATTTTACATAAAAATGTATCATTTTAGGACTTTACTTATTTACAATATAAAATTTTATACACATAAATAAGGAACTTTTATTGTCATACCCGACTTGACTTAATAACCATTCACATTCACTCAACAAATATTTTTCACTCATATTTCGTAATCGCATTCATACGAAAAATTGTATTAGTGAGAAAATGCCCTCAGATACGTACGGCTTAAACAGCCAGAGTGGAATTCTACTTTTCATGCAGGTCCTTTTATTGCCGCGCCCGGCATTGTTGTTGCTCTTTAATTGCGGACGTCAGGGCAAAACAGGCGCAGGCGGCGTTTTTACGGCCTTTTGAGCGGATCCCGGAGGGAGGAGCCCCAGAGGTCCTGGGGCGACAAGGATTCAGGAGCTCGGAGCTCGGAGCTCGGAGCCCGGCAACGAGCAGTGGCTATAAAACAGACAAAACGGCACAGACAGTGGGGGCAGGAGAATTGGGGCGGGGATGCAGTGCCGCCCACGGACGAACCAGTGGGTGGCACGTGTTCGCAGACTACGAAAGTTTTTCAATTAGTCCGGCTGGAGAGGAAAAATTGCGGCCAGTGGAGCCGCGGAGTACGGTGCTCCAAAGTACCGGCCGAACCCTGCGCAGGCTTCATTAGAGTTGTTTGCCGGCCGATTTGGGAGGTTTCCATGTGGACGCTGCTCCTTCCGATTAGGCAGTCAAGTAGCGTTGTACTCTTGTTTTTCATTAATTAACAAGGAATCTGAGGGATAAAAAGAGCGAGGGCAAAAGGACCGCTTCTGTTTTGTATCCCTTTTGCGGGTATTAGCGATGATTCCAATAATATTATGCCAATTAAGTTCTTTGGATAATTGACAAAAGAGGAAATTGACTTTGCATTTCTTCTACCTAATTTCCGCCCAATCTGTCACATTACATTATTCTCTCGGCCCAAAATAAGAATAAATGTTTGGCAGAGCTGGCAACCCGCTGATAGCAAACATTTTCATCAACTGAGGGTTGGATTTTCTATGGACCCTCGCCTCTGGAATTTATTTGCAAATATTTGGGGAATGTTACGTATACGTATACGTATACGGAAAATTAACATAATTACGGCCTGCAACCCTTTTTCTGAGAGTGGGTTTTGCAGGTAGTCAAGGCAACGCCCACTCCCTGCCATGAGCTACCCCAAAAGCCCCAAAAAATACGGCATCGTAATAATTTCTTAGCATTTGCTTTTTACGAGGAGCCAGAGATACAAAAAGACAGGGGGAGTTGGGGTGGCTTTACCGGCCCACCAGTCCAATCTCCCCACGCGCAACGCATAAATTTACTTGTTAAACAACCCAACGAGCAGGGAGGCTGGGGGCCAGGCGATTTGGGAGCTAAAGGTTTTTTAGGGGGCGTTACCAGACCCAAGCCCCTGGGCTCAACCGCAACCCAGCTGCTGCTCATCAAAGTTGCATGGGCTGGGAGGTGGGCGAAACGCTGGCGAAAGTAAAACCAAACAAAGCATGCCAAAAATTATCTCGGTCACTTTTCAAATACACATTCTGAACACCCCCCAAAATTTCCTTTTTTAGGGGTTTAGGGTTTGAGGTGCGAAGTATATGCACTGCTAAAATTAAAGCTAACGAAATGGGTTTATTTTATTTTTTGAATTAGATTTTAAGAATCTAGAATACCCAGTGCCCAAATAAATTAAAACATTTTATTTAAGAACAAACCTTCTTCCAAACTAACCCAATGATTTATTTCAATTGTAAATGATTCGATTTTTGCTGTGCATTGGAATTCCTGGTCCACCGCTTTTTACCACAGATCCGCTTTGTTCCCTGCCGCTAGTTCAGAGTTCAGATCTCCCCAAAGCTTTTTCCATTCATGGGGTCAATGGTTCCGTCTCGTGACTGCGCTACACCGCTTTTCCGACCCACTTTTCTTGTTTTAGGTATATGTATACAGTGTTGTAGAACCCATACTAAAGCATACCCCACACTCCGGATGGACAAGTTGACAACACTGTTTACCTAATGTACCGTTAAGCTGCGCACTTGATGCCGTTATCTTTGCTCTCTTTGTCCCACCCCGTCAACATGGAAATTATTTTCTTAATTTGAGGGCAACAACGAAAAGTTGGACGCTGACTTTAAAGAGCTTACAACCATTTTACAGTCGACCTTCCATAGCTTGTGTTTTCTCTAGTTTAATGTACGTTTAGGGGTAAGTCCGTAACTCAAACTTCTATTTCTGTACATTAAAATTTGTTTAGAAGCCCAAAACTGAAACTTTTGACCAAACTAATTAGGATGGGGACTAAAAAATACGACATTCAGCTCTTGGAACTTGGCTTAATATAGTTCAACCGTTAAGCCTGGCACTAAAATTTTTATCAGTTTTCGAAAAGTTTCAAAAACATTTATATTCAATATGGCCCACACAAAGAATACTAAGAGAATAACATTTTAAAAGGAATAAAAAGGTGTTTTGGCGATCCAGGGCTTAGTTGAATAAGTTTCATGACCAGGACCTCAAAATGAAAATCTGAGTAAAATTAATTTTTTTGTCACCAAATGTAATTTAAGCTAATTTTATATTTGTATTGGCGCAACACTTGCACTGCCCACAACATTTATTTTTTGGTGTACTAATAAAGTTATTGAATTTCGAATGTGCAACATGTATGCCAGCATCGAATTTAAACTGGCAGTTAAACTTTGGCAGTTCGTAAAAGTTTTTTCATTTGCCCGGGCAAGCAACAATAAGACCAGAGCCGTAATGGCAATGAGCATGAAAATCATAATAATAACCGGGGGAAACAAAAGCGAAAAAGTTGTAAACTTTGTTACTGCTGTTTATGATGTCCCGGGGCTTATTTAATCGATAATGCCGAATGATGTACCTACTGGGCGCATAAGGTAAGACAGTAACAGTAACAATAACCAGCTCCAGTTTCAGTTACCTGAGGAATATACTAAGCGGTGGGAGTGGCCTTGAAAAGAGGGTGGGAGGCTTCCAAGGGACAGTTAAGGGATTTCATTGCCGTCACTGAGCTCGGCAAGGTGAAATTGCCGAGCGTGGCGAAAGGCCGACTGGGAAAACCTTCGCCAGCTTCACACGCATGCCACGCTTAGTGCAACCAGTCCGCCCCCACCCCCACCCCCCACCCAGCCACCCATCCATCCACAACCCCTTTTTGCGGGTTAAGGTCATCAGCAGCTGCTGCTGCTGCTGCTGCTGCTGCAGCAATGTTTGCCGCAATTTTATGCTGCAGACATCTGCATTAACAATGGCAATGAAAAGCAGGCAGAGCAGAGCAGAGCCGAGCCAAAGCTCGAGCCTCCTCCGTCCGTGACGTTTAGCCGTAAACGGATTTATAGCAGCTGTAACGGCAGGCGTAGCTGCACATCCTGCCTTGAAAGTGGGCGGCATTTCAAGGCCGCTCTCCTGGCACTCGTTTATGTTGTCATTATTTTTAATCCGACATATTTCTAGGGCATGTGGAGAATTAGCGAAAGAGGCATTTGCCTTAAATGCCGCGAATTTGTGTGCCACTAAAAGAAAAAACTACTAGATGCAGGCACAAAGGCATTTTTTTGGCATGAAGCACTTCTTGAATGGTGCTTGAGAAAAACATTGCTTAGCTTTGGCTGAAATTCCTAGTCAATGCCAGCAAAAAAGGAAGGTCAATAGCAGCGACAAACTATCTGAATCAGCAAATATGCAAATTTGAGTGCGTGAAATAAATTATTCAAAAAGTTAACGCCCTTGCACTGGCACGCTGGCGCCATCTGTCATCAGGTATCTGTTGCTTTCTATCGACGTTCTCCTGTGTGGTCTGAGTCTCGACTGAATCTCAGGGCTGCAAAATGGCACGACTCTTATACTGTTAGTCTTAACATTCCAAACAGGAATGTTTGCCAGAACTGAACAAAAAAGCTAACAGTGTTTAATATAGAGATGGAAAAAATATCATCAACTTACAACTTACAACTTTCTTTCAAAACTTTCATTCTTATTTATTTATATTTTCTTGAATTAAAAATTGGAGCTTCTCTACAACTCTTTCCTTTGCAGGGACGCAAATAAAGTTCTATATAGTTATAGTTTGAAAACTTCAATGACGTCGATGTTTCCCCAACTTTAGCGGTGAATTTGCGTGCCTGTGGTGGGTTTGTCTTTAGCGAATAGTCGAACTAACAGCGGAGACGGGTAAACACCGATAGTCTTCGCCAAACATCGATAGCACCGATACTTTGGAAACATCGATGACGCCGATGTGTGTATCGTTGTTTTCCCGCCTCCAGCCAACCCTCTTTCCTTTTTCATCAACATGGCTGATCAGGTAAGAATACCGAGAGTTCGTTGAAATAGTGAAATACGCTGCTTAAACAACGGTTGGAGATTCCGGACAAAGTGCCAGAGGCCTTGTAAGTGAGCTGTTGCTGGACGAACCAGAGGAGGTGTCAGGAATCGACCCAGCAAGACAGAATCCGGAGCAGCCTCGACCTAACCCCACTTTAGCGCATGGTGTCGCACGTAGTGAACTCGAAATGTATATTCCAGCAAACCGAACGCGCGTTCCGCAAGCAGCACGCGGTGGTCGTTGTGCGCCGCAAGAGCGCCACTTTGAAGAAGCGTCCTCGTTTCTACCGCCAGATTGGCCTGGGCTTCCGGGCTCCGGCGGAGGTAAGAGGAATCCGAGCAAACCACGACTAATGTTGCGCCCCCTCCTTTTTTTCCGTTTCATTCCCACGCACGCTGAATGTTCCCGCCTGCCTGCCCAAAACGAACCAAAAACCCGCACACCCTGTTCTCCACGTGATCCTGAACTAACCAGAACGAGCGCGCCTTCCAAAAACAATTCGGTGTCAACCTAAACCGCAAGGTCAAGCCCGGCGTCACCAAGAAGAAGCTGCTGCGTCGCTCCCGCGATGTGGGACTCGGTTTCAAGACCCCCCGTGAGGTGATGCTAACAAAGATGTCCCGCCCCTTGAGAAGTGAAGAATTCCCCAGCTAATACGTTTCTGTACTCCACCCGCAGGCCATCGATGGCACTTACATCGACAAGAAGTGCCCCTGGACCGGTGATGTGAGGATCCGTGGACGCATTCTGACCGGCGTCGTTCGCAAGGCCAAGATGCAGCGCACCATCGTCATCCGGAGGGACTACCTGCACTTCGTGCGCAAATACAGTCGTTTCGAGAAGCGTCACCGCAACATGAGCGTCCACTGCTCGCCCGTCTTCAGGTAAAATTACAAAATCTTAAAACAAAACTTGGGCCCGTTTTCTCATATTTATTTAGAAAACTTATAATGACAATGTGAAAACAGGCCTCTATTAACCTTCTCTGATGATAAAATCATGACGGTCTTCATAAAACAAATTGCTGAAAGAACTTGACTCTTTTTACTAAATGTAAAAATACTGAAATTAATCATAGAATTAACTATATCACAGTCCTTTAGGAAATTGTTCTAATTCATCGTTAATCTTTACTTGCAGAGATGTTGAGGCTGGCGATATTGTCACCATTGGCGAGTGCCGTCCTCTGTCCAAGACTGTGCGCTTCAACGTCCTGAAAGTCAGCAAGGGTCAGGGATCCAAGAAGAGCTTCAAGAAGTACTAGAGCGGACAACCACCATTCGGGCGATAATATTTGTAGCAGTTATTCTTTTTGAATAAAACAGAAAAAAGTAACTTTAAACCATTTGTTTTCCAGTCTTCTCTTAGTTTCCACAGCATTTCAGCAGTGGCAGCATCTATTCCACTTGAAGGTGTGTATTAAGTTTTTATTTATTTGCTTTACATGTTAAAAATTGACATTCTGATGATAAAATCATGACGGTCTTCATAAAACAAATTGCTGAAGAACCTTGACTCTTCTCACAAAAAGTGAGAATACTGAAATTTATCAAAGGAAATTATGTCTAAGCATGAGACTATTAATTCCCTATTAATGCAAGTTTTATTTCTATTTACAGAGTTCAAGATGACAACTCGACTATATCGATGGCTTAAACTTAAGTTTTCTTACCTTTAAACATTATTTCCTTGAATAAAAGTTACTCGAATATGAATTTGATCTTTTTGTTATATTAAAAGGGGGACAATAAGTGAAATTTTTGGCAAAAGAATTATGTTTGCAGCATTGTGTTGCATTGTTTAAATATTGGCGGCTGTTCAAAACAATTAAGTGTTGTAAAGCCTGCAAATAATTTATAAAAGCAGAACTTTGGTGCAGCTGGCCACACATCAGCTGGTAACACTACAAAGAAGGAACAACAATAAAAAGATGGAAACTGGACCAAATGCAGAAATTGGTAAAAATTATAATTTGCACTGTAAATAAAGACTTGGTTGCCCAATTTGTGGTCTGAGGAGCTGCCCAAAAAGAGGATGTTTTTGTAGGAAAGATTCCCTAAACACCAATCCTATTCCACCGCTTGCAGAGCTTCTGGAGCGCGTCCTGTTGCGTCTGGGAAATGCGGACTCGGACGAAAAACTGGAGGCCACTGTGGTCAAGTTCCTGACCCCGGTGATCCTCAAAATGAACTCTCCCCACAATGCGGTGCGCACCAAGGCAAGTAGACGGGTCAAACAATGCCAGCCGGTGGTTTCCTACCCCCTTCTCGCATCGTGACACTGCAGAATTGGCCGGTTGACTAATGCACCTTCTGCTCAGGTCGTCGAAGTGCTCACCCACATCAAACGGCGCCTTTCGTCGCGAGGACAAGTTCAGATACCCGTGGAGGCACTGCTGGATCAGTATGCCGCCGAGGACAGCACCACGTTCCTGAAGAACTTCGCCATTATATTCATTGCCATGGGCTTTCCGCGTCTGCCGCTGGAGGAACAGGCTGGGCTGGCCAGCAAGGTGGTGGGCAGCGAGGACAAGCTGGAGAGCTACCAGGACAAGCTGTTCGCCCTGCTGCTGCCCATATTGTCGGACATGAAGATCCCCGATGACCCGGCCCAGCGGTCAAAGCTGCTGGATCTGCAGGACAAGCCGGCCATAAGTGCTAACTTTCTGTCACTGCTCCAGGATGTGCTCCTCCTGCCCTATGGCATCACCCAGGACCAGGACGTTCCGCCGGGACTGAGTCCCTACAGTTTCAAGCGCATCATCGCCAACAACTGGCGGGCTGAGGAGCTGGAGAAAGTCAAGAAGGGCATCGTTCGCTTCCTGTGCGCCAGTGTTTTCAGTGATGTGCAGATTTTCGTGCCCCTGGTAGTGGCTTCGGCGGACACACGCTTCAGCGTGGCCACTCCAGCGATCGCTGAGCTGAGCAAGCTTTGCACCATGCTGGATTTCAGTAGCCCAGCGGTAACCGCTCCCCTGTACACTCTGTTTGCTGGCAACCAGAACAAGTTGACGGATCGCCAGACGCGTCCCTGCTGCGCCCGAGTGCGCCAGAAGCTGCTGCAGTACCTCATCAAGTGCCGCGGCAAGAGCATTAACGTGACCAAAGGTCTGCAGGTGATCTTTGATGGCCTGTTTGGGACAAACACCAACCAGAAGTGCAAGGTCTTGGCGCTGCAGTTCGTCGAACTGGTGCTCAGGGAGTAAGTTTGTTTTAACTGCCATACCAACCTGGTAAAACTAATCCCAATCACCTTTTCTTAGTGGTCCCCGCGAATTGGTCTCCAAGGTATCCAGGGTAATACTGACCGGCATCACCAAGGTGATTGGACGCGACTCCACCGAGCCGAACGACGTACAGAATGCAGCGTATTCTGCTTTGGCGCAGCACGCTCGCAGTTTCCCGCAGGACGTTAGCCAGGATCTGAAGCTGGTGCTGGGATATTTCAATAACCTGGCCAGCTGTGCCCCGGAACTACATTCCACCATTAGGGAGGCGTTAGTTTCGATGGCACCGGCATTTGCCTGGAAGACAAAGGAGAAGAGCGATGCCATGGAGGTGGATGAGGATGCAGATCCCTCCACCGTAAAGTTGGATGGCCAGCAGCATCTTCTCTTGGCTATGCTGCTGGATAATGCCGAGTCCAAAGTGCAGATTGTGCAGAACGTAACCAGTGTTTTCCTCACCAGCTGTTATCCGGAGTATTACGCACCAGCCAGATACTTGCTGCTGCTCATTGCGGGCGAGCGGTAAGTTGATCCACAACTTAGTTCATTATTTAGTTAAATATAAAATGTTTTTTTTTTTCCTCAGCAATTCCCTGCGCGAGAACGTGACCACCTTTTTGTATGGCACCTCAAAGAAGGATCACGTAAACTACAATATGCTCTCCTCCATCGAGCAGGCTGAAAACCGCATAAACAGCGAATCCATTAGTGACTTCAATCACCTATCCCTGGAGCAGCGTCGAGTGGTCCTGCCCAGTTTCCAGGTGATGATGGCCCACGTCCACGAGATGGCCAATAAGCGACTGAAAAAGAACACTTCCTGTGTGGTAGTTGGTCGCACCAAGCTGCCCTACAGCTTGGAGGTGTACGAGGAGCTGCTTGACTATCTGCGCCTGTGCCTGTGGTATTCGGCTGGCGTCGTGTCAGCTCCCGGCGATGAGAAGTACACCCAGGAGCTGCGCAAATACATCACCTTGCATTACGAGGAGGCAGAGGACAATGCCCTGCATCAGTATGTGCAGTTTGTTCAGCGCAGTGTGGAGGCTAAGAGGAGTAAGTTTGCCATTGGCCTGCTATAGAATCATCTTAAGATTTTGTACTCCACAGGCGACTCCAATCTTACCTGTCTCTATGACCTGTTGAATGCGGCTCCGGAACTGTTTGCTGCCAAGCAGCTGCATCTGCTCGAGCCCCTTGGCAACACGTTGAAGGATGTCTCCGAGACAATGCGTATCAATGTGGCTCAAGTCTATGCTATTTTGTGGGCATTCGGTCTGTCCGACGAGAAGTTCGATGAGGAAGTGGGAGAATGTTTGAGCAGCCTCACGCAAAAGACGTTGGAGCACAAGCACGGCTGGCTTTTGGTGGTGGGACACACTTTCAATCGCAAGATTGCTATGCTCAAACAAGAGAAGAAATCAAAAGACTTTGCCGCTTGGCCGCAGTTTGTTAATGCGGTGAAGATTATCTGTAAGTTTGTACCTTGACCAGTTACCAGGTTTGATTGTTTTCAATCACTTCTTTTTTTTTATTTATCCAGCAAAAACCCTCTGTGAATCCCAATGGCTGCTCGTGTCGGCAGCCGTGAAATGCATCTCCATGATCGGCAAGGCTGTGCAGATACCCAACGTCACGGTAGAGATCCAAGTCCCAACCAACGATGGGGACGACGACGATGAGATGACCGAGTACACGAGTATAGATTCCTCCACCAAGTTGGTTATCTTTGGCGTTGTCTTCCAATTGTTGCGCAGCTCGTCGGCGCGCCAGAAAATTCGTGAGGAGGCGGCCAGATGTCTGGGATACTTGGCCATTGGCGATGGCGAGCACTTCACCAAACGCAACCTGGACAAGTTTCTTACCCTGGCCAAGGTGCAAAAGGACGCTGCTTTGAACATAGCCATCTCGGAAGCTATTGTTAACACTCTCTGTGGCTATGATGTGAACAAGGGCCAACCGGATGAGAAGTTTGTTAATCCACACTGCAACGATGGCGACTTTGAGCAGTTCCTGAACTCGCTAATACGCCTGGTCACCGAACCGAACCCGCACTCCCGTCAGGCGATATCCGTGTGGCTCCTAGCCGTGGTGAAGCACTGCAGCCATCGTCCATCCGTGTTGGCCAAAAAAGAGCTTTTGCAATTCGCTTTTACCGAGCTCCTTTCGGATGATAGCGGTAAGTAAACAAGCAGGCCCATTTCTTCTTCAAATTATTATGTTTTCGTTTACAGAATTTGTGCAGGATGTGGCTTCCCGCGGATTGGGACTCGTCTATTCCCTCTCCGATTCTGGCAGTCAAAGTGATTTGGCCAACTCACTTTTGGATCAGCTCATTGGAGGCAAGCGCAAGGTGAATCAGGTCTCCGCAGACACTGAACTCTTTGCCGAAGGAATGCTGGGGAAGACGCCGACGGGAGGCAACATCACCACCTACAAGGAGCTGTGCTCCCTGGCCTCGGATCTCAATCAGCCGGACATGATCTACCAGTTCATGCAATTGGCCAATCATAATGCCACCTGGACCAGCAAGCTGGGCGCTGCCTTCGGATTGAAAACCCTTTCCGCCGAGTCCAAGCAGAAGATGCAGCCCTATCTCGGCAGGATCATTCCCCGGCTGTATCGCTACAAGTACGATCCCACGCCCAAGATCCAGAACTCGATGATCTCGATTTGGGACACCATTGTGACTGATTCGAAGGAAGTGACCGAGCGTTACTATTGGGAAATCATGCGTGAGTTGCTAGACAATCTTACGTTCAAAGAGTGGCGAGTGCGAATTGCCTGCTGCCTGGCAATTAGAGATCTCTTAAAGCGTCCAAACGGGCTGAAGCTGCGCTCGGAGGAGCTAGGTCACCCAGTTCCCGCCGCCAACAGCATGGAGGTGGACGAGGTGCCAGAGCCGGAGTTGAAAGAGCTTTGGGTGCAGCTCTTCCGCGTAATGGACGACATTCATGAGGGCACAAGGGTCACTGCCCACGGAACGGCCTCGTTTCTGGGAAAGCTTTGCGTCATCGCCTCCTCCTCGGATCATGGAAAATCCGGCACAGCGGTGGCTTCCTCCACCCTGCCGTATCTTCTGGAAGTGGGCGTGGGTCACAAGGTGGCCGAGATACGCAAGGTGAGCATCAAGACCATCTCCGACATGATTGACTCTTCGGGTGCGCTCATCGCTCCGCATTTGGTCACCCTGATTCCCTGCCTGCTTCGCGCCACCGGTGAGTTGGAGAACACGAAGCTCTCCTACGTGTCCACTCGCTTGGGGGCCGATAACGAGGCCCAGGAGGCAGTGGATACGCTCCGCGCCGAGGCCGCCAAATCTCACCACACCATGGAAACTATTGGGAAATGCGTGCGCTATATCGACTATCCTGTGCTGGAGAAGATGACACCCGAGGTTTTGGAGCTGATGAAGTCTAGTGTGAATCTGGGAACCAAGATTGGCTGCGCCCATTTTGTATGTCTGGTATGTTGATCGAATTAAGGAAAAAAGATATTGTGCTTACAGTGTTAAAAACATTACAGATCAGCATCCGTTTGGGCAATGAGATGACCCCGGTGGTGGGAAAGTACATCAGGGCCTGCTTTGTGGGAATAAAGGACCGCAATGCCACCGTGCGCAAGTACAACGCCAGCGCAATTGGCCACCTGTTGGGTTTGGCCAAGGAGCAATCGATCAAGAGTTTTTTCGCCAAGCTGGAGGAGCTGTATGCCGAGCAGCCCGGAAATCGCTCCATTGCTCTGACCATCCAGTCAATTAACAAGCGTCATCACGAACTGCTTAAGGACTACATGGAAAGCATGCTGCCGCTGATCTTCTTTGCCATGCACGAAGAGGCCAACGAAGAGACGAAGGCCAATGTGGAGCTGTGGAAAGATTTGTGGAACGATGTAAGCCCCGGCGATGCAGGTATCCGTCTCAATCTGAATGTGATCATACCCAAACTGGAGACATCACTAACCGATGCAAGTTGGTCACGCAAGGCGCAGGCGGCAAATGCCATCCAGACGATAGCCACCCGCCTGAGTAGCTCTTTGGATGAACCCGACCGAGTGCGCCTCATCAAGCTGCTCCTGTGCGGTCTGCAGGGACGCACCTTTGAGGGTAAGGCGCGCCTGCTGCAAGCGCTGGCCGGGCTCACCAAGGGATTGGATCGAGGCCACCAGATCTGTCCCAGCATTATAGATGCGGCCATGAGGGAGGCAAGGAAACGGGAACCCATTTATCGGACTCTAGCCCTGGCTTCTCTGGGCGACATCCTCGATCAACTGGAGGCGGATCGCTTTGAGGAGGTGTACAACATGAGCTGGAACCTGCTGGAGAAGAAGGAGCTGCGCAAGGAGTCCGACGACGAGGACGAGCCCGGCACCAGCCAGGAGCTGAGTGCCGATGAGCGCAACAAGAGGGCTCAAACCCTCAACCGACTGAAGGAGGTTGTCTGGGAAACACTGGGAAAATCCTGGCCACGTCACTCAATCGAGACGCAGCATCGCTACCAGCTCTTCTTTGCCGAGAACTGCACCAGCATTCTGGCGGAGAGCACCCGCCCAGTGCAAGTCAGTCTGCTGGCAGCCCTCACCAAGTACATCGAGAGGCTCCACGTCTTCGATGAGTCCGCCCAGTTGCCCGATCTGCCGCAGATAAACCAGGAGAAGAAGATCAAGACGGAAGCACCGACGCCCCAAACACGCAAGGCCATTGTCGAGAAGATCTGCACCGATGTTCTGGCTGCAGTGGCTCTGGCCGCTGGAGTTCCTCACACGGGCCTGAAAAAGGAGGCCCTCAACATTGTCCTCATGCTGATCAAGCGCTTGAGCGGGGCCAAGGACCAGCGGCCTCTGAATCTGATCAAGCAGAACTTTGAAGCGAACTTGGAAAAGTTCCAGCGTGATTCGGCTCCGGAAATCCGCTGTCGCATCAAGGACATCGAAGAAAAGCTGAGCAAGTTTAATTCAGGGAATTAAGTCATTTAAACGTAAGAATTTCAATTATGTGTGGCCAAAAACCAAGCTTTGGGTAACATTTTGAAAGGGGGTAAGTGTGGAAATAAAACATCTAACTTTGGCTGAAATTAACACATATGAATATTCATTTTATATTGCGATTTATTGAATGGGAACTATACGAATTAAATAACCTTAATACTTTTGATTTATACTTTTAAGGAACTATGAGAATCTGTGCATTGGATAGCTAGGAAACTGCTGTCCTTGCCTTTAAGTCACAGCCATGGGTGTTTTAAACATATAATACTAAAAAGTATCCCTGCAGAACCTTAGGTATATCTCATCCTGCGACTTCAACATGAAGGATTTGGGATTGAAACGAATCTCGGCTACTGTTCGCTCGCAAACCTCCACCGAATACAGCTTTAGGATGTGAGCTATGCCCAGTTTTAGCTGAAGGATTCCCAGACGATTGCCAATGCAGCCATGGGGACCAGCTCCAAATGGTATATAGGTCATGGGGTGAATATCCTTAGTCCGTTCGGGGGCGAACCTCTCGGGATCGAAGCGGTGGGGCTCGGGCCAATACTGGAATTCAGATTTTTAATATGGGGAAGCTTATACTCAATCGTACCTTTTCATCACGTTGGAGGCCAAGTATGGAGATGTAGGCTGGCATGCCGGGGGGCACCACAAAGTCCACATGCGGCTGCAGGGAGACTCCGCCTGCTTCCGAACTGGTACACTCCCTGTTGACAAATGCAGCAGCCGGATAGAGACGCAGTGCCTCCGAACATACCATCTTGAGGTATGGCAAAGCGTTCAGTGTTTCATAGGAGAGGGTGGAGGTGGAACCGAAGGCCTCACTCAGCTCCTGTCTCAGTCGCTCTTGGATACCAGGTGCCTTGGCCAGCTCGTAGAGAGTGAATCCCATTAGGGCTGAGGAGGTCTCAAATCCGGCCAGCAGGATGATGCCTGCCTGAGAGGCTATGAAGTCAGGGTGTTGGGAGTAGTGGTCCGAGGAGCGACTGATCTGAAATTGTTGCAGTTGATTGATCAGATCATCCTTCTTGTGGTCGTGATGCTCCTCCACCACTTCCCTTATAAACTGCGCATAGTTCTCGCTGAAAACCTTAGGTCTCAACAGATTCGTCCACTTGGGCAGGAAGAACACGATCATGAAGTCCAGAACCTTGCGGAAGTTCGTGTTAAATAACTCCCTGGTTTTCTCCAGCAGCTGAGATCGCCCCCGACGCAATCCGCCCACATCCAGGCTGTAGAAGAGATTACCAGTCACATCGGTGGTGTACAACTGGCACATGCGGGTCAGTGGGAGGACCCGACTTGGACGACTTCGCAGCTTTCGGTTGAGGAAGTTCTCCAGGTCGCTGGCCACATCCAAGATCTGCGGATATATGACCTCCCGCATGCGTCCGCTGGTGAAGAGCTGCGACATGCACTGCCGACTCTCCTTCCAGTGATGGTACTTGGCCAGCGGCAGGTTCAGCGCACCCATGGTGTCTTCCACGTCCGCCGATTCGTAGCGGTTCAGGAAGCTGTTAAAGTTCTTGACCAGCACTTGGCGGATAAGCTCCGGATCTCGCACCATCAGAGCCGGTGTTTGGAAGACAAAGAAGCCCACAACCTTGGCTCCACCACAAAGTGGATCTGCGTAGAGCTGTCGAAAGAGATCACCAAAAGAAATGCGCAAGAACAGAAGCTGGCCCAGGTTGCCCATCGGTGACCAGGAGGAGGCAGGAAGGTAGGGAATCCCAAGGTTCCTGAAGTAGGCGTACTTGTGTCTCAGCCAGAGATTTAGAGCCAGTAGGGTGAGTAGCAGCAGCCAGAGGAGCAACATGATTCCTGTCGGGAGTAATAAAATATGTGCCATTACTAATTAAATCTGTTACATTTCCGTTGCGTATATACAGCAAAAAACATGGGTAAATTTAACAAAGAAATAGTTATTATTTTGCTGTTTAGTAACAATTAAAATAGAAGAAAGACTATTTGTTTTTCTTCAAGTATTTTGTTGTTTAAAAAAAGTACTATTATGCATTGTAGATAAACAATGAAATCTTTATCTCTTTGGAAAATTTGAGGGACCCGTGCTTCAATGACTATAGTAAATATATATTTTTTTATTAATTGTTTATTATAAGTTTACATATTTTCTACTCAATGAAGCATTCTTTAAATATTTGATTTTACCCATGTTAATTTTATGTGTAGAATTCTAAAATAATATTATGGAATATTATTATTACAAATCCCCTCCCTATTTATAAACCAAATGACCTCGTTATTGGCCGCCAAAAGAAACCCCATTTGCATATATGTACATATGTTAGAATCCCGACCCACTTAGCATCAAAAAGAAATCGCCCATTCATAAATGAGATTCATTCACAGAAAAAACAGGAGCATCTCGATGAACCCTCAATGGAGATAGCGCTGTTCCAGAGCTTTAACCAGTTGACTTGGCACATTTGGCACCAGTGGGAAACTTGCTTTCCGAGCTTCAACATGGCACTGGGACTGGTGATTCTGCTGGCAGTCCTTCTGGCCACCGCCTATGTGGCCCTGCAGTATCATTACTCCTACTGGCGGCGAGTGGGTGTCCGTGAGATCAAGCCCCAGTGGATAGTGGGCAACCTGATGGGACTGCTCAACATGCAGAAGAGTCCGGCGGAGTTCATATCCCAGCTGTACCAGCATCCCGAGGCGGAGAACGAACCGTTCGTGGGCATCCATGTGTTCCATAAGCCGGCTCTGCTGCTGAGGGACCCCGTTTTGGTCCGGAATATCCTGGTCAAGGACTTCGGGGGATTCTCCAATCGGTACTCGAACTCCGATCACAAGGCCGATCCCTTGGGGTCACAGAACATATTCTTCCTGAAGAATCCCGCCTGGAAGGAGGTGCGGCTGAAGCTCTCGCCCTTCTTCACCGGAAATCGACTGAAGCACATGTTCCCGCTGATCGAGGAGGTGGGCGCCAGCCTGGATGCTCATCTTCGCCAGCAGCCGCTGCACAACGAGCGCATACGCTGCTTCGACTTGGAGGCCAAGGAGCTGTGTGCCCTGTACACCACGGATGTGATAGCCACTGTGGCGTACGGAGTAAAAGCAAATAGTTTCACGGATCCAAATGGGGAGTTCCGGCGGCATGGAAGATCCGTCTTCGAGTTCAGCCTCTTGCGGGCGGCGGAGTTCACCCTGGTGTTTTTCCTGCCCCACCTGGTGCCCTTGTTCGGTTTCAAAGTGGTTCCGGCGGAGGCCACACGATTTCTGCGCAAGACCATCAACTACGTGATGACGGAGAGGGAGAAGTCCGGACAGAAACGCAACGATCTGATCGACATCCTCATCGAGTTCCGACGCAGCACGCAGCAGGCGAAGGCTTCGGGCATCAAGGATCAGTTCGTGTTCGAAGGCGACATCCTGGTGGCCCAGGCCGTGCTGTTCTTCACCGCCGGCTTCGAGTCCTCCTCCTCCACGATGGCGTTTGCCATGTACGAGTTGGCCAAGGATGCGGACGTGCAGGAGAGATTGAGGGCGGAAATCAGCAATGCTCTGACTGAAAGTGGTGGTCAGGTGACGCTCAAAATGATCGAGTCGCTGGAGTACATGCAGATGATCCTGCTGGAGGTGTTGCGAATGTATCCCCCGTTGCCTTTTTTGGACCGCGAGTGCACCTCCGGAACAGGTCAGTCGCTGGCTCCGTTCCACAACTTCGTGGTGCCCAAGGGTATGCCCGTCTACATTCCTTGCTACGCCCTGCACATGGATCCCCAGGTGAGTTGTATGTACAGCTTCGGTCATGCAAATATAAGTTCTTCAGCTAATGGAACTATCAAACAAATCTAGTTTTGAAGCTAATTTTAAAATTGTATTTATATATTCATGAAGGTTATACTTTGAACTAAATTGGGCACGTTCAAAAATCCTCATTTATCATAGGTATATTTTTAAATATTTAAAAAATTAATTAAATATAATTGATACAATTTTTTTTAATGTTTTTAAACTTTTAATTTAATCCTTTTTATTTCAATACAAAGTAACGATAAAAAGAATTTATGGTTTTATTTCCTACATTTATTTAAAATAATTTACTGCGATTTTTTGAAAAGAAAATTTTATAAAAATATTAAAAGTTTTAAATATCCTTGGAAAACTGAAACAAATCAAAAGTTTTTGAAACTTAATTTTTTTTTTGTTACATTAAATTAAAACAAATGTTATCCTTTGTCTAAAAAGCACGTTTTTGAACACTTTACTTTGTGCCACTACTATTATAATGACCGCAGCTGTACCTCTTTCAATAAAGTTGCTGTCTAAAAATAAGGTTTCTGTACTTTAGTACTTCCCCCAACCGCGAAAGTTCCAGCCGGAACGCTTCTCGGCTGAAAACAGGAAGCTGCACACGCCGTACACCTACATGCCCTTTGGCCTCGGTCCGCATGGATGCATCGGAGAACGGTTCGGCATGCTCCAGACGAAGGTGGGTCTGGTGAACTTGCTGCGCAACCACCTAATAGCCACATCGGAACGCACCCCCATCGGATGCAACTGGAGCCCAAGGCCATTATCACCCAGGCCAAGGGGGGAATCCACCTGCGATTGGTCCGCGATCCTTTGGGGGTCTAACTCACCTGGACAAGATGTGGATAGTTTTTGGAGTTTTTTTTTCGAGTTTTTTTTGGGAGCAATGCAGCCCACAACCACTGAGCGATAACTGAGCCGTAGAGTCGCGTGTTTTGGGATTTAAAATTGAGCTGGTGTCGCATCTTGAAGGCAATTTGATTGACGAATTGCGTGCTTTATCACCAAAGCAATGAGCTGCAGTGCCTAAGGCCTAGAACATTAGTCATACTTACAAATATATCATTCTGGATATATACCTATATATTCACTACTTACTCCCTGATCTTAACTAAACCAGCCATTAGGTTATGGTTACATTTCGAAAATGCATTTGCATTTCATTCCCTGTAAAGTATATTAAATGTATTTATTGGTGGCGTAATTTTATAGATCCCCCCCACCTCCCGATTCACAGATTAAAAGTAATTTGATAATGATTTTGTTTTTTGTTTTTATTGAGTAGACAAGGCGCCGCTACTGACACGGATTGTTGTATAATGTGTATTATAACTTAAGCAAATGCCAGCTGTCAAAAAGCGATTACCTACCCCATCAGCCAATCACTACAACTATCTATTCCGCATACTATACTTCACAATTGATTCAATCGCCCCGTGCGGCGCTTTCATCGTAGAGGCGATCATGAACGATCTCCAGATGGATGCCGGCCTCGGCCTGCAGCACAAAGCCCTTGGGATCGAACTTCATCTCCTTCATGGTGGCCGCGCAACTCCTGACCGAGTGATTCTTCAGCAGGCTGACGAGGCCCAGTTTGCTCTGGAGCAGGCCAATCCGGCTGCCGATGCAGTTGTGGGGACCGGATCCGAAGGGCTGGTATGCCATGGCCACGATGGACTTGCGATTCTCGGGCGAGAAGCGTTCCGGATCAAACTGGCTGGGATTGGTCCAGTACTAGGGATTACAAAGTGGTTAGAGTTGTAGATAATCAATATTTAAAAGGTTACATCCCTAATTACAAACGTTTTTTTTTTTCATATTTTTGAAGTATAAGTGTCTAAAAGTAGGTCCCTATAATTTCAATTTTTAAAAATGCATCGACTAAAGACTAGTTTATGGTTTCATTTAACTAAATCAATTTATAATCTTTTATTTCAAATGATACAGACCTCTTAAACCTCACCGTAAATCACTTTGAAAAATAAGGGAAATTAAATTATCACATCTTTTAGGACATAATTACTCAATATTCAATCAATATGTAAAAATGTTTTTAAAAGATATACTTTTCTATGATATGCTAATCATTTAAAACACTTAAAAAGTTTTCGTAAAAAAAAAATTCCCAAAGTAAAAATCTTTTTGCCCTACAACTAGGGATAACCCCTTAACACAGAAAATTTACCTTTGGATCATGCTGCAATGCATAGACGGGTATAAACACTGGTGTTCCGTTCTCAAATGTATAATCGTACAACGGCTTCAGGCTCAGATCCGGCTGACCCTTGACACTCTCGTACTCGCGATCCAGGAAGGGCAGTACCGGATACATGCGCAGCACCTCATCCACCACCATGCTTAGGTACTCCAGGGACTGGATCTTCTCGTAGGACAGTGTGCCACCGCCTTCGACCAAAGCTTCGTTGATCTCCTGGCGCAGTCGTTGCTGCATCTCGGGATGTTTGGCCAACTCATACAGAGCAAAGGACATCGTCGAGGAGGAGGTCTCGAAGCCAGCCGTAAAGAAGACACCCGCCTGGGCCACCAAGAAGTCATTGTTCTTGGCATAGTGCGGTTTCGAGGGCTCAGCGGCCGCCTCCTTGCGCAGACCCACCAAGACATCAATCAGATCGTTGCGGATGAAGCCCGTTCGCTCTCGTTCCTCCATTACATGGCCAATGGTGCTCCGCATGAAGCGGGAAAAGTCCGGTGTGAAGAACTGGATGCGCATCAGGGACACCAGTTTGGGCAGGAAGAAGGCCACGAAGAAGTCCTTGGCACGGGATATGGTGAAGGTGAAGAGCTTACGTCCGAAGTTACGGAACTCGGCGTTGGGATTCTGCAGGCTATTCGCACGGATACCAAAGGCAATGGTGGCTATGCTGTCCGTGGAGAACTGGGCGCAGATCTCCTTGATCTCGGTGATGTACTTGCCGGAGCTCTTCTCGCCATGTCTCTTTAGAGCTGCCTCCAAATCGCTACCAATCTTAAAAGGGGAAGTAGGGTTTACAAATTTGTTTTTCGATATTTAAAAATTAATGTATTATATTTCCAAAATGTTGTGTTAAAATTTCAAGTCGATCGGGGCAACATTTTCGAAGATTTGGCTTATTTTATACCTAAGTTTTCAAATTTTAAATTGTTTACTGGAAAACTCGATTCTCTAATTTATTAATTTAGAGTTAAATATTATGAATGATCCAATACCGAGTTATGATGGACACCACAATTCTACCTTTTTCCCAGACGCTATTTTATATTTCTCAATGAAGATTTAATAAAATATTTTTAAAATGTTGTACTATAATAAAACAATGATATTTAAGAAATATTTTACTGTTTCTTTAAATTTTTTAAAAAATTTCCAAAATTGTTTTTATAAAAATTATCCTACTCTTAAGGATAAAAAAATGTATAAAAATCATTCTTAATTTGGTTGCTTAGTCATTTCCTTACCTCTTGCATTAGGGTATACATCTGCTTCACCTTTCCACTGGTAAAAACAGGCGTTAGCTTGGTGCGAATGTCCTTCCAATGGCTATCCCTCACGAAAAATAGGTTGTTATAGCCCAGGGGATCGCGGTGGGGATCGCAGCGGGCGTAACGGTTGTGGAACCGATTGAAGTCCTTGATCAGCACGGATTTGATCAACTCTATGTCGCGAATAATCAAGCCGGGTTTGTTAAGGGAATATATGCCCACCACGGCCTCGTCTTTAACTCGGGGATCATTGTAGATCTCCGAGAGGTGCATGCCAAAGGAGTTCTCCATCTTGAATACCACCTTCGTGTTTCCAATAATCGGTGTGGGTGGGATATACGGAATGCCCTTGCGCTGCCAGTAGCTGTGGTTTCGCTGGCACCACATGTACACCGCCACCAGGGCAGCCACCACCACGAAAAGGGCCTCCGTCAGTACCATCTTTGAGTTATGAGTTTAAAGAAATCTTCCACTCTGTAATCAAACAGTAGGATAGGTCAGAGCACCGAACGTTATCTTATGTTGATTACAAAAGGTCAAGTTGTGTTTTAAGAACCCACTTAAGTGCTTTGTTTACCAAGCATTTGATTAAATTTATAACAATGCGCACTGACAACAGCTACCGCACCTTACCCATTACATTTTTACGAGAAAGGCAGTCTAGTTATCTTCAGCAATGCTGATAAAGGGACCAACAATCTGGGTTTTAGATAAGGTTGACATCAAAATTAAAAAAGGGCTTAAAATGTCCTACTCTACTATTTCTGAAGAGCTTTGGAAATTTTTCACTATCTCAAAATATGAAACCTCATTAAGGTTTAATTTTCACATACATATTTTGAAATAAAAGGACAAACATGCGAAGACAGCACTTATAACTTTTGAAAATAATATTGTTTTATTTTTCGAACACTTGTATTAACTTTTGCCCACCTTGTTTTCCACTGGCCTTATTGGCAACTAGTTATTTCCAGCAAGTTCAAGGAAACGTTTTGTTGATTTAAAACTAAAAAGTCGGAGCTCCCGAGCACACAACCGACAATTAATGCTTTTCACACCGCACTCGAAGCGATTTAAAATTCCATCGCATATTTATACCACTGACAAGTTCTGAGATAGCGATTTCAAGTGCGAGTATATTCACCTCTGTGGTGAATAGCGGGCCTTAAATTACGAAAAACAAACAAATAGTAAAAAAAACGTTAACCTGCGGCAAAACAAACAAGAAAAAACAAGTCATGATTATATTTATATTTTAATGCTATGAAATTAACAAGGATATATTTCCTGAAAGGATTTTTCAACTAAAGTTTAGAAATTAATTACTCAATTTGTGATGTACATGTTTTATGTTTATGTTTTGATTTGACATTTTTAGATGTACACTGTCGTTTAATTGGATTTACATCAGAATATATTACTGCTTCAAAAGTATTGCATGCTTATCAGTAATTAACAATTACCCAAAACCGGATCCGCCTGTCAAACTTTTGATGAGTTACTCAAAATCAAGATCGTTATGATAGAGGCTTAATGGAAACGATTGCAAAATGTCTGGGCGATATGACTGGATCAAACAAGTCTATAAGATAGCTGTGTTCATAGCCCAGTTCTTTTAGATAGAGCAGGCGGTCGAGCAGTATCAAACTCTCTAGCACAGGAGCAAAAGACATTCGTAGCAGGTAGAATAGGTCCAAATAATGCTTGTCCAAAGCGTATTCTTGCAGAAGGCAATGAAGTTCTTCCTCCTCGATGGCTGCCAACCAAGGAGCGTCCAGCTTTGTGGCACATTTTTGAATGTATTCCTGGAAGCTGTCAAATTTGCGCACCTTGCCCACCTGCAATTCGTTCTTTAATTGCGGGGAATGTCGGCAAACCAGTACTTCCAAAAGAGCACGATAGTAGAGCGTTACATTAGGCAGCTCCTTGGCGTCCAGGGTGCGTTCAATTGACTGAGCCGCCAGCATTCGGGCATTGCGACCCATGCGAACTTGCCGTTCCTGGAGATACTGGCTCAATGGGAACCCGTGGTCCGTTTGCATGTTCATCAGTGCCTTGTTCCCAAAGAATTCCTGCTGTGAATAACGCTCCTTCAGTAAATGATAGCAGCAGCCAATGTTGCACAGCAACCGGCAGTCTTTTTGGGCATGGAAAACCTGCAGGCAAGTGGCGGCTAAATTGCCACAGGTGTGCAATCCAGTAAGGCAAATGTTAGGATTGCCTGTTTGCGGGAGCTGGTGGAAATGCTCCGCCAGCAAGGTGCCAAAATTGAGTTCGGTGGTTATAAATCTGGCCGTTGTTTTGTAGTTTTCCAAAGCAGGCGCACTCTTTGTGGTATCCCTGGTGGGTGACTTTTTTCCTCGCCTCTTTGGGGTGATTCCTTGGCTCTGCAGCTCCGCACGTTCCGTGAGTGCGTTCCAGGCGCGCTGCAATTGAATATAAATTTGATTTAGGCGGTCTGTGTATTGTTTTCCAGCACTGTTTTGGTATAATTGTCTTCTTCTGCCATTGTATATTTTAATAACCTTGCTACGGTCACACTGTCGTAGAAAACGCGAAAAGCCGGCGATTTACGGCACGCTTGTTTTATTTTTCCCTGAAAACGCCAAAAATATCAAACAAACAACATGTCGGCTGGCATGCCCATCAACCCCAAGCCCTTCCTGAACGGCCTGACGGGAAAACCGGTGCTGGTGAAGCTGAAGTGGGGCCAAGAGTACAAGGGCTTCCTGGTGTCCGTCGACGGCTACATGAACATGCAGCTGGCCAACACGGAAGAAGTGATCGAGGGCTCCGTCACCGGCAATCTCGGCGAGGTGCTCATCCGCTGCAACAATGTGCTGTACATCAAGGGCATGGAGGACGACGACGAGGAGGGCGAGATGCGCGACTAGGCACGAGGTCCTCCTCTTTAGAGGAGTAGGAGCTACCTAACTTTACTTATAAGTCTACGAAAGTAATGAAATAAAGCTAATTTTATTTTGTAATCCTAGCCTACCTGCAGTTTTCGATTGCGGCTCAGGGCGTTTTGTGTGTTTTCCGCATTGGCATCGATGCCGAGAACGCGGTGGCCATACTGGAGCGCCAGGCGGGAGGAGAGATATCCCTTGCCATCGCCCGCATCCACAATGTAGCAGTCTTGGCAGGAGTTCTTCAGGAGATGGTCTACTAGGGCAGCTGTTAGCTCCACCTAATCGGAAAGGTTATGAAAGTTCTAGTGCTTCCGTAACTAAACCAGAAAGTAAACATACCTCATGGCACTTTTTGGCGCTCATAAACTCCCGAATGCTTAGCTGTGCGGCATTCTCCTGTCCCTCAATTAGTTCCTCCACGCTGGTCAGCAATTCCGGATGAAGCGCCAGGCGTTCTTGCTTGCCCTTATCCAAGAAACTCAGCCATTCTGGAAATCTTCCTCCTGCTTCATCACCTCGCCAAAATAGGCCATCTATCGCCAGAGCCACATCTTCTTTGCCAGAGATTTCCCTTCTTAAAACCTCGGGCAGAAAGACTTCCCAGTGTTGATCCGTCAAATAGTTCACCATGTGGCAATTGACGAAGTCCCAGTGAGGATTGAGGAACGCCAGCAGACCATCGAGGCGCTTCTGCAATTGGGACACCCCCACTTTGGACATGCTGCTAGAAACTGTAATCCTTGCGTTCAGCAACAGGAGATTCAGATGACGCTGTTCCGGGAATTTTATTGGATCCTAATAGGGCGCGGAGGCGACGGTGGGAGGATCGGATGTTCTGCACAGATCCCACTATGTCCGCCTGCGGATCGTTGGTGCGGGGGAACTGCTCGATGAGTGAGCGCAGCTGCTCCAGACTGCGTCGCACCTTGTCCGTGTGGTTGCGTTGCTGCTGGGCCACCACCTGGCCGAGAATCCTACCCAGCTCCTCGCCTAGGGATACTCCCTGGGCGTAGCCCAATTTGTAGCCCTCCTCGTTGCCCTGCTCCTGGCCGTCTTTCAATCCCTCCTCGTAGCCCAATCGAGCTTCTTTCTCCTCGGTTAGGACAATATCGTCGAAAAGATCGTTTATATCCCGGGATGCAGTGGTCATTATACGGAAAGTTGGACAGTTTTGGGGTTCCTTCTGGAGCAACAACTTCAGTTTCTAGTAAGTCCTTGTTCGAAATTGTGTATTTAATTTAGAATGTTTAAATATTCCCTTAACTGTAATACTTAAATCAATGCAATAGTCACAATCAACTAAAAGTTCTTATCCAAAATGTGTTTCCTCTGCGGATATTTTACAGCACTGGAAGTAAGCAACACAATAGTGCTGTTATTGACATCTAATGGGGGTATTCCTTTAATTTGAAATAAACTATTTAAACGTTTTTTTTCAGCTGTTACTTTTATTCAACTGATTGACTTTGACCTAATTTGGCATGCTCGCTTGGGTACAGAATTTGGAATTCTTTCTAGAGATTGGTATAATTTAAGCTAGAGAAGCTAGTGCTTAAAGCCAGCCAAGGCACATTAACCGGTGCTAAAGCTATATAAATGAGAGGGCTTCCCACTGCATTCATTAGTTCCACGCGTCTTCGTCCTCCTCGGAGCGCTCTTCCACGCTGGATTGAGATCCCTTACGCGGCTGGACTGGCGGTGGAATCACTCGCGAGAGCTGCTGCATCAGGGGATTGCCAGCGGTAGCCTCCCCGGGATTCTGGCTCCCAGAGATGCCCTTGCGACGAAGCATCAGCTTGTTGTGCAGATCCGCCATCAGATTCCCTGCGGTAGCGGCGCCCGCCTTGGAGCGTGTGTTATCCACCACATCGAGAGGAGCAGCCGCAGGCGAACGGAGTCTTCCGCCGTGAACTCCGCCGGCATTTCGAATGGCCGCCATGAGCTCAGATCTCGGATCTTCAGTGGGTGCAGGGGGCTTCGGCATGTTGAGGGGCGTGGAAATCGAGGGAGAGAGCGGTTTCACAGCTCCCTTCGTGGGGAACGGTGGCGGCGATGGAATCCTCTGGACCTGCTCTGGTGGAGGAGGTGGCGGCGGCGGTGGAGGTGGAGGAGGTGGTGGCGACGTAACAGGCGATGGACACTGTCCCAGACCCGTTTTCCTCGAAGGACCTGGAATGTGCGTCTGTGCCGCAATGGCTTGCACCGTGATCTCCTGCTCCTCCAGGCCCAAATCTGGTAGCTCCGGCAGATCGCCGAACTGCTGGGAAGGTGCTATCGGTGTCTGCTCCTCTACGGGCTCATAATGCAGATCGTTGGCTATTCCAGGAAGATCGGGCAGATCCAGCGGCACATCAATGGCAGGTGCAGCCAAGGCAGCAGGGTTATAACGCAAGTCACCAGCTGGAGTGGCCAGTTTGGTGGTTCCATGCGCCAGTGAGTGGGGAGCCGGAGCCAGCAGCTTCTCTGTCGTAGGCCTTGCGGACATACTGGCCACTCTGCGGGCACTCTGCGGCGGCAGGGAACGTTTCCAGGCATTCAGATCATCGCCATAGGCGAACTCATTGGTATTAAATCGCATCAGCGAGGGCACGGACTTCACTCCAGCCAAAGGAAGGGCTCCCAGTCCCGCGGTGCGATTGGTCATCTTCCGTTCGGCAACCAGCGGTGATTCGTGCTCCCGATCGCCACGTACGTGGAAAAAGACATCCGCATCCTCCTGCTTCTGGTCAGAGGGGCAGTGGCTGCTGTATCGCCGGCGTGGCTGTTGCTCCATTTCCACCTGCTCCTCCATCAGAGGATCATCCACCACCTGTGGAAAGGTGGCCGGCAGCGGAGCCAGGACGTCGCTGGCTGGAAAGCGAGCGGGTGCAAAGATCTGGATGGCCCGCTTGGAGCCAACAAGCGCATCGATTTTCGCCTGGGCGCGCTTCACACGTTTGCTTATGTCCTCAACCTTTGAACCATTTCTCGCCAAGCGGGCATCGATTCGCTCGAAAATCGAGTTTATTGTTTTGTGGAGACAGTCCAGGGACTGGGCTGCTTGGATTATGGTGTCCTCATGGTGGAGATCGGTGGCGACAATGGACACCTGGTAGGGGCTGTGCAGGTAAGGCGATTCCTCCATTTTTGTTTTTTGCAAAATTAATCACATATTTATTGCGGATCCTGCTGGTGTTTTTGTGTGACCGTCTTTCAGAGATATAAAAATATGAAATACAAGATTCAGTGAAAATTGGAAAAAGTAATTAAACTACAAAAAATATAATTAAGGTCATAATCAAGAAAAAAACACAACAAATTAAATTAAATAAAATTAATTTATTAGGAAAGAAAAAATGCATTTATTAGGGAGGTTCCCTGGGAATCCCGACCCTTTTTTATGTGGATTTCAACTTCTGCTATCTGGTAACACTACAAGAAACGACACGGCAGCAAATCGGTTCACTGGCTATTTTCGTTTAATAAGGACTTTATTTTACAATGGACAAGGTTGTTAAATTTGCCGAGCCTGGACGCGTCTTCGCCAAGGACTCGATTCGACTGGTGAAGCGCTGCACCAAGCCCGATCGCAAGGAGTTCCAGAAAATCGCCATCGCCACCGCTGTGGGCTTCTGCATCATGGGCTTCATCGGATTCTTCGTGAAGCTGATACACATCCCCATCAACAACATCATCGTGGGCTCCTAAATGCAGCAGGTGGCCAAGGGACCAGGAAGAACAATACAATAATAATAAAATGTAATTACGGTTCCAAAGGGAACTCTAGCAAAATAAAAATCCCTTTTTCGGATTGTGTATATATTTGCGTTTTGGGGCTTGGTATCTTTAAAATGATTTATCTGCTTTGTATGCAAGGGGGCAGGATAGCCAGTATAGGATTGGAAAAGATAAGAAAACAGGTGGAATTCTAATAAAACATATCCGGCAGTAACGAACCCTGCGATTGGGTTGAGTCCTGGATAACAGCTAAGTTTCACTCCTTTTCATATAGGGTTAGGGGCATATTTATACAAGTCGTTTTTTAGTGTTCGACGACGGTCACACTTAGGAAAGTAAATCATCAAAAATACATCGCAGTTGTTACGTGAAAGTTTTCAAACGCTAATTTTTATATATTGACAGTGCTTTTATGAAATTTTTCTTTACAAAAGTGTCTGGCAGTGATTGTACAAATGTATTAGCGTAAAAGGTAAGTTTTTGGTGGTTTTTGTGGCTTAAAATATAACATTGAAACTGATGTGAAAAAAACGCGTGTGAGTGTGTTGGTATCATAAACGTGGCTTTGTCCGGAAAAAATATGTTGCGATAGAGCTAAAAAATTGGCAGTGCCATTAAAAACATAGATACATCACGTTCGCGTATCAAAACTTTACAAAGAAAGCGAAAATACCTAGTTTATTGGTTATATTTGGAAGGAAACAACATGCGAGAAAATATGCCTCATGGTCGCCATATTGAATTTTCAAGGCATGCCTGTATGTGTGTGTATATATGTGGCTTGTTGTTTGTGGACGCGCGTGATTGTTTACGTCTGGTATAGATTATATAGGCAGATATCGAGGTTTATCCAGCCTTGTACAGTTATTTTCACCTAAAGTGACATCTTTGTCAGTGCCTTTAAAAAACATTTTTTAAAATATCCTTTTTTTCGAAAAGATGTATATGCACTATATTTGCTGCGAGGGTGTTTATAGTAACCCCTTCAAATAAACTCAACTGAGCTAACTTATCAAAATATTTTCAAAAGTGTTTTTATGGACTTTGCACCAAACCAAATTTGTTTTTAGTTCCACAAAAGTGATTAAATCATAAAAACCATTCTTTGCTACTTAAGGGTTAATGCCTTACTCCTTTCACCACTTTGTAGCATAGTCACTTTAATTCGACAAGTCACTTACCGTTTTGTTTCCCTTTCACTTTCAGCCAAAACCAAACAACTGCGATTAACGTAAACCAAAAAATTGATCGACAGTAGATCAAGAAGCGAATTCCAGAATGGATCAGCTATTTCAGAGCTACCGCGACGATGAGCGGAGGATCGGCGAGGAGTACCTGTCCAGCCTGCAGGATCTCAACTGCAACAGCAAGCCGCTCATCAATATGCTCACCATGCTCGCCGAGGAGAACATCAACTACGCCCAAATCATCGTCAAAGTGGTGGAATATTACATCAGCCAGGTTAACAAAACAAAAGCGTATTTACCTAAAAACCAAAACACTCCAGCACACACACAGCGAACAGAAGGTCGACACAAAAAGTGATTCTCCATGTCGAGTTTGTGATTAGAATGTGCAGTTCATTGTTTACGTTTGCCATTTACTTGCAGGGAAAACCAACAAAGACCTATTTAAATTTTCTAACTTACTTGCTAATTGCTTTCTCGGTTTTTGTCGGTTTTCCTCTGCAAAGATAGGTTCTATATCTTAATATTTATCAAATAATTTGGGTTTTAAGACGTGACTGATTTTAATCCTCAGCAAAGGTAAGAAGTTTAACCTGCTCCTCGTTTCTTATTTCATTCTACTTTGGATCCCAGAGTTTAAAGCTAAAGAATAACAAACAAACAAAAAAGAAAACTGAAAAATGCAATAAAAAGAGAAAATACTTAAACAATTGTCACCAAGTTGTCTTTTATTTTATACAAAAACATTGACTGCTTACAATCAATCAGAACATTGATGTGCAGCAATTTTTGTATTACCAAAAGAGAAAAGCAAGTTTTGGTAAAAGTAAACATGCAGCTAAACTGAAATTTAAAGCCCTAAGTACAAGAAGCTAACACTTAAAACATTTTTTTTGCCTCATTTTCATGGTTGGATTTCCATTTTCATTTCGCTCGGAAAAGGGAACAAAATCAGCTAACTTCATACGCGATCCCATGTAACCCGTTAAATTCATTGAATGTTTGGACACCCGTAGGGTACATACTTAGTTTCCTCTGATAGGACCCTTTCTCTGTGTGGTAGACATTTGCTCGAGTTTGGTGTACTTGCCTTGGAGATGTCGAAAACCAGCAACCGCTGAAGATAATGACTTCGATGGACAATCGCTGACCCTTGTGTTGTGTTGTTGTCTGTCTGCCTATTTAGTTCAGATCAGTCTCCTGAGTTCTCTGCCCCTTTCTATCTGTCTGAATCTCTGCTAGCGACGTTCCGTAGTCACTTATTGTTCTTTATTTCTTACCTATTTTACTAAACTTCAAACAGGTGGCGCCCGAATTTAAATTGCCCATACTATATTTAATTGATTCGATAGTAAAGAATGTGAAAAGCAGCTACGTCCAATTGTTTGGGCAATGCATTGTCAACATATTTCTCCACGCCTTTGAATCGGTAAGTGGTTATAATCTCTTAAATTGTATGCTTCTTAATGGCTTCATATTTTTGTTTTCATCCCACAGGTTCAGCACTCGCAGACTCAGGTTTTGGAGAAGGTGCGTGAGCGCATGTATGCCCTGCGGCAAACCTGGAACGAGGTCTTTCCGCCCTCCAAGATGTACGCCCTGGATGTGAAGGTGAAGCGACTGGATAACAACTGGCCCATCACCGCCAAACAGCCAACTAACAAAATCCATGTCAATCCGGCCATTCATGTGAATCCGGACTTTCTGAAAACGGTAAGCGCAATCAAGAGCTCATAAAAGAATTCAGAGAAATACTAAAATATCCTTTGTGCAGGGCATGGTTCCGGTAATGCCCGTTAACCCCACATTGCCCAGCGACATGGAGGAGATACTCCAGGCCAAGACTCGCGAACTGCTGGAGCTCAAGAAGCGTAAACTCGAACTTGAGCTGGAACAGACCAAAAAGCATTTAGAGGAGCAGGAGCGTCAGCTGAACCAGGCCACTGACGCGATGGCTGTGGCTCCGATGATTATGCCTGCCCCGACTGTAGCTGCCATTCGTCCGCCCTTGATGGATCCCGTGTTGGCTATGCGAAATCAACGTGCACCGGGAGCAATGGGCAATGCTGGCCCCATAATGCCCAATATGCCAGTAGCACAGCAGGTAAATTGAAAAGCGTACGACAGTAGCTAAACGAAATCTAATCTATTATTTCCTACTTGCAGCAGTTTACCAACAAGCCAAAAGTTAATCCGGTCAATCCGGCACTGCTCAACTCGGTGCGCCAACGAGATCCGCGACTAGCGCGTCAAATGCAGTCGCAGGCCTCACATCCGGCCGCTCCCGCACGCTCCGATCCTCGCCTGGATGCCAAGTCAAGCTCATCACAGAAATCTAGTCGTTCGCGCAGTAAATCGCCAGTGCGCAACAGCAGCAGTCGCTCAGGAAAGAGTGGAAACTCTCATCACAGCACCAATTCGTCGAGCCGCAAGCGTAGCGAGTCCAAGAGCTCCACTGCCTCCTCATCCTCGTCGGGTTCCGATGTGCGACACAAAAGCGGCAACAACAGCAGCAGCTCCAACCAGTCGCCGGTGAAGCGTTCTGGCAAGCATTCATCCAAGGAGCAGTTGGATCGCTACGCTCGCAATGGCTCGCCCACGGGATCCTCGAAGCGCAAGAGCAGCTCGCCGAGTAGTTCGCCTTCGAAGTCAAAGCGCAGTGCATCCCACAAAGCCTCCACATCTTCGTCGCGAGGAAAGCCATCGTCGGGGCGATCACGCAGTCGATCTCCAGTCTTCATGGACGTGGATCTGCGCAGCGGAGTCCGCAGCAAGTCACCAGAATCGAAGGCAGTGGCTCCCACATCTCTACCTCAGGTGGCCGCATCTTCAGCAGCTAAAGCACCAAATGATTTAGAGAAACGTAAGAAACAACTTTTAATTCTAATCTCACACCTGTTAGCCAACAATCAAGTCGACTTCGACTCGGAACATAGTCCTACAGACAGCTTAGTCGAAAATTTTGAAATTACCAACCAGATTGGCGGCACTCAATGGCTTAGGCAGGCGGAAGGGCGGGTTTTTGGAATTGTGTGTGGTTGACAAGTGGAAAAATTCTACTCTGCTTTTACCGAAGTCTGTGATAAGTACAACTGTGATACCAAAGTGGCCGTTCCCAAAAGTGGACTATTTATCAATGCATATTTTAATTTCAATTTCTTACAAAACTTAATTGCATTTTATACAATTAAGTTTCTACTGAGTAAAACTTCTCTTATTGATCTAAATGTCCTCATTAATTTTTTAATGCTTTCTTCGTTGTGTTTTGGCCCATTATATTGAAGGGAAGGGGGATTTGTTTCGTTATAAGACAACTAACCGTCAACCATTGAACACATATTTATGCCATATTTTTTTATAAATACTTAAGCGTGCTTTAAAGAATTCATACAAGTTTGAAAATTTTAAACCAAAGTGTAAATAAAATGTGTTTAAAAACCTTTTGCATTCCAAGTTGTTTTAATTGATGCAAAATGTAGCCAGGTGCCGCCTTTAAAGTTGATTTACGTTTTGTGAATGTCAAACCAACAAGTACCACTAAAATTGAAAGCGAACCCAAAATAAACCTAATGATTAAACTGTGAAGTATTTCTTGTACCTTAAATCGACTATTGATAAACATTGATTGATTAGATGGAGATAAACTAAAATAAAATAAAGACTGCAGTTTTAATTTGTTGTTAACACCCATGTAATACCAAAATGAAAAAAAAACAACGCTAATTTTTAACTATAAATCAAACCTTTGGAAACTATACGACCAGATTAAGTTTACTTTTGTTTTAAGCGTACGTTGTAGTTGGCTTCCATGTAAATACGAGCCAGCTGGTTAAATCCGTATATGTATCAATATTATTTTGTATTTGTAGAACGGCACTTTTATCCCTTTTATA